CGTTTTCTGGGCCTCTGGTCAGGCCCTAAGGAAGAAGTTGCTCCCTAGATACCCCCTGCAGATCCTGTTGGCTGAAGGGAGGGAAGCAGCTCTCAGGAAGGACTGGGCATGCAAAGACCTGACCTCAGATGAGCACATCCTCTAGAGCAGGGGTCCCCAACTTCCAGGCCACAGACAGGTAAGTGGCCTGTTTGGAATTGGGCCACCCAGCAAGAGGTGAGTGGCGGGAGAGCTAGCGAAGCTTCATCTGTATTTGCAGCTGCTCCCCAGAGCTAGCATCACTGCCTCAGCTCCACCTCAGATCGTCAGGCATTAGATTCTCACAGGAGCACCGGTCCCTGGTGTCAAAAAGGTTGGGGACCACTGCTCTAGGGGTTCACCGATACAGAAACGTCTCTGCGAGTCATGCCATATTCATGATTCCTTGAATCTGGTCATGTCAGAGCTCCCAGCCCCCAGGCAGACCATAGTCGCCACCCTCTTAGTGCCGTTCTTAAGTCTGATGGAGCCAGAGGCAGAGGTATGACTGACAGGTCTGGGTGCCTCACCCAGCTGCATCCCCCTGGGCTCAGCCTGGTGGAGCTCTTATCCCATAGCCCTCAGTCAGCCCGGAGGCATCTTGGAAGGGGTGGAGCCCTCTCCTAGGGATCTTTGTCATTCTCTGTAGCAACTGGATATATATGAGCTTCCTGTGCAGTATGTGATCCTTAAATTACTAAAGAAATAAATGCTTGGGTTGTTCGCTTGGCTTTGGTTGGGGGTAGAGTAGGGGATTGGGATTCCAATTCTTTTTCTATACATTAGAGAAACTAGGAATGAGTAGGTGGGAAAGTCCCTAACAGTCATGGCAGTCAACCTCTGAGCATTTTATAGATGAGTAACGGAGACTGATAGAGGGGAATGATCTGCCCAGCACCACAAACAAGTGGGTGTCAGTCTTCCCTTAATTTCAATTCCTTTGACACCTCCCAGCCTGGCCTGAGTCAAATAAGCAGATGGGAGAGGGAGCTGCAGGTGGGGGTCCAATTCTCATCTAACAGTTTCTTGTCTCCTCTAAGCATTTGCCTCAAGTTCCTGGCGCCTTGTGTGGAGGGGGAACCAAAGGGTGGGGGTCAGTGAGGCAGTAAGTACAGTAAGGCCGCTGTCCAGGGGACCTGTAGCCAAAGGGCTGCAGATCTACACTGTGTGTGTAACAGCCATTTATAAGCATCAGGATATAGGAACCAACAGCCGCAGCTGCTGCAGGGCAGGTAATATGCCCTGTACCTGGGCTCCACCCTGGAGGAAGTACCTCTGGTGGACTTTAGCAAGACTCAACACAAAACTATTCAGAGTAGGGGTTTTCAGGGACACAGTAGCTAATGGAGAAAGGAGATTAACATACATTGAACATCTGCTATGTGTGGGGCATCTGAGAAAAGTTGTCTAATGATAGCCCACGATAATTCGATGTGCCCATTGTAGAGGCAAGGGAACAAGGTACAGAAGCAACTGGCCCAAAGCCACACTGCCAATGAATGATGAAGCCAAGATTTTAACCCAGGTGGTCTGACTCCAGAGCTCAGGGTAAGCTGTCCCCAGGCCTTCCTGTGGCTGGGGGTGGAATTGATCAGAACACAAGTTGCTGGTCCTGAATTCCAGGACCCTGAGGACCTGGCCTTCCGCCCCACTTCGGGAGGTGCCGTGGGTATGACAGAGGGGCCACTTCACTTGCTGCTCCGGACTTTCCACATACACATCCGACCATCATCTCTCCTGCTTAAACGCCCTGTTGCCCTATGAATGAAGTTGAATCTCCTTAAATTGGTTACCAAGGTTTCTCCTATCCCAGCTTTCACCTCCCTCTGTGCTCGTCACTGAAATTCTGAACTTGTAGCAGTTACACATATGCTCCTTAGTACCTGGAACTCCTTCTAACTAACTTGCTAACTCCCAGTTTTGATTTATCACTGAGTCACTTCACTCAGAAGTGGTGGATGTCTGGGGGCCTGGTGCGCAGCTCAACTCTGAGCCCAAGGCCAGGAATCACTATGTCCAAGCACAATCTCATATAGCTTTGGTCAAATGGCCCACTGAGACCAAAGATGGTGGGGGTGTCAAGGGAAGAGGGGGTGCCTACGATCAAGAGAGGAGAATGTGTGTGGTAGGTTAGCATGTAAACATCCTACTAACATCTGGTATGTGAAGGACTGTCAACAGTCACTCCAGGGGTCAGGCCCAAGACCTGTGAGCTCACGATGGGGTCCCACTCTCCTCTTCCTCTTTCTCACATGGGAGGAGTATGAGGGCCAAATTAGTCTATCAGAAAAAAAAGTAATTTTTAAAAATAAATGCGTAGTTTCTTAAGTTAGCTCCTGTGGTTCATTAGCTAACCAGGTGGATGATGTTGACATCATTGACTATGGTTCTGCTATCCATAGCATAGTTATCAAGCATTTGTAAGAGATAAAAGCAGAGGATGGGTGCCCACTCATTTAACCTCCCCACGCCATGGTGACCCTAAGGGCATACTGACCAGTTCGTTCATTAACATTTATTGGGCATTTCCTCTGTACCGGGACCCATCTTTGGTAAAGGGGTTCCAGAATCAACCAAGACCTGGTCCCTCACTCTCCAAGAGCTTAGGGTCTATTAGGAATGACAGGCTAAGACATCTACAAGTCTGAGAAAGACCAACAGGGATCAAAGGGTCCAGAAAAGAATCTGGGAAACACTGTCAAAACCCCCTCACTCCCCTGGAGCTTCAGCCACTCAGGAGATCCAGCCAGTGAACTGACTCGGAGAAAGCCTGTCTGCTGCTGTCAGAAGGGCAAAACGGAGGAACTCGAGGTGACCGGTCTGTGGTGTCTTCTAGTGCCAAGAGCAAGCCACTCTTCCACGTGTGAACTACCTGTGCCCTGCATGCTTCCAAGAAGGGTCTGGCTCAGTTTCTGAGCGAGGGGCTGAGGCTTAGAGCTGATGCACCCCCGACCCTGCTCCAGGCTGGAAAGGAGCCCTGAGACACTTATTTCTTGTGCCCACAAAGCCTCAGAAAGGGGCATTAGGGCTGGCAGCAGAAGACTTGGGATTTGGGTTTCTTCTAGCAGGAGCTGAAAGAGGGAGGAGGGCACGCTGCACTGCCACGCTGCGATAGAGTTCCTTGCCAAGTGGAAACCCTGTCTAGCAGGTGTGGGCCTGAGCACTGTCCTATGTGAGATTGCTGTCTGGCCTATGTATCTGATGTGGGTGGTGACCAGTAACGGCGGGCTTGCTCCAGGATAGATCATCTCTGGGCCATCTGATAGCTCCATCTTTGAGGGCTTGGTCACCTTGGCAAGACCAGCTCAGAGTGCAGAGAGATGTCCTTCTTCCCATTTCAGAAGTGCTTGGGATGCACTGGCCTCACTGGTTCGGGGCGTGGCGGGGCATCTAAGGGCTTTGCTGGCCAGGATGGCAGTGTTTCTAGGGTACAATATTGGGAGCGGGACTCCATGCAGTGCTGTTCAAGGTCAGCCAATGACTGTGGATAGTCTCTAGGTTCAGGCCTGGGGAGCTCAGGGTCGCCCTCATCCCCAACCTGCTGAGTTGAACCTGGTACTCCTGATCCTAGGGCTACCCTTTGTCTGTGCCCCTTGTCTGGCTCAAGGCCCTGGACAGGTCACTTCTCAGTTAGGACCCGGGGCCAGGAGTGTGGCGTATGGCCTTGAGATGGCACCTTTCCCTTTTTAGGCCTGTGTGTCACACAAACAATGAAAATATTGAATAAGATCAGTGGTTTTAAATATTTTTCAAGGATCCCTTGTCAAGTGAAATCTTATATGAAGTTTAGTATATAATATACATTAAAATAAAGCTGCTGTGAATCAAGTGGACGGTGGGGACCTGGACCTCTGTCCACCTAGCCTTCTTTTACCCGTAGCCCACCGGTGGCCATGGACTTCTCGGGAGACTTCTAGGGCTCTTATGAATGCACTTTGAGGCCACTAAGCTAGAAGGTCATTACAGGTCCTCCAGCTTTGATGTCCTGGGGTTTTCTAGCTTCCTGAAGCCATTGGACCCTAGCCCTCCCAGACCCAAACCCTCTCTTGAATCACAAAGGGAAGGCAGTGTGGGATGGGCCATAGACCTGGCTGGCTAGCTGGTGACACTCCCACATAGTATCTTAGGGAAAGCCTTTCTGAAACCCTCTGGTCAAAGGCCAGCTGTCAGTCACAGGAGAAAGATGCTATGTTTCCCCAAGCCACAGCTGCCAGGCAGGGAAGCCTGGGGCCCAGAGTCTGGCCTGGTCCCCATTTCGCCTGCAGATGTCTTGACATTGCTATCCCTGCAGACTCCCCTTCCCATGTCGTAGCCTGTCCCTTACCTGAAACTACACAGCTTGGCAGTTCACAGTGGCGCGGACTAGCTCAAAAGTCCTGCTGGCTCAGACGAAGACATGAATTTTCTGAGAGTTTCAGAAGGGTGAGTTCTAGATTCTAAATTCTTTTGCCTGTCCCAGGGGGTCCTCTCTGCTGGGTCTTTCCAAAAGTCTTGTCTCTTCTTCTACTTACTCATCTCCACTTCCTTCTACCCCCAATCCAGAGCCTTCTCTCTTGGTCCTAGTCACCAGGAGAAGAACTCCTTCCTATGCAGGTGTCCAGCCATCCGATCGAGGTACCTTGATATCCTTGAACCAGCAGGCTGTTACGTGCTCTGGGCCCTGAGGATAAAACCCCATCAGAGGCATGTGGCTGCTCTAAGCATGGCCTAGGAATCCTCTGCCTTGCTGAAGTGAAAGCTGCTGGACTAGAACAACTACTGGGGGTAGGGCTAGGTTTTCTGTCCCTACCAGGCAGAGCCAGCCTGGAGCCTTCCTGCTGCTTTCTGTGTCCTTCGGAGAGGACCTAACCCTCATTCTCATCTGCTGGGTGGAAAGAATGTGTCTCCTTGAGCCCGACACTGGGCAGGTGGCCTCCCGTCATTCCCATCTGTAGTCAGCCCAACCACAGTGCCTCCTGAGCCCCAAACTGAAAAAGCAACACTTTGAGTGAGAAAAAACACTTTATTAAAGGGTCTCTGTCACAAGCCCCCCATTTCTGCACTTGTCAGATCGACTTTGGGTAGAGGTTTCTGGTTGTCTTTCCTTCCAGTTTCTCTCATTGTCCAGGGCTTCCTGAGATCTGGCGTCCTCGGTGGCATCCGGGGAAGGGCCAGTGAACTTGGGGTGCTGGCCCAGTGTAGGGAGGACTGACGGGTGGCAGAGGGCCAGGGAGTGGCCAGCCCCACAACCTATAAGAAGTCCCGACGATGACCGCAGAGCCTGCACGGGCTTCGGGACCCAGATGTTGGCTTCGGTGCCATCCCCGCACATGCCATGTTCGTTCCAGCCCCAAGAGTAACACACCCCACCTGTGGAGGAGAGGGACGACAGCTGTAGAAGTGTTTTGGGTTTTGGATATGCGGCTGAAACACTCACCTTGCGGGCGCAGGTATCATCATAAACCCCAGTTTATACATGAAGAAACCAGTGCTCGGCGACACTTGGTGGCGTGCTCATTGACCCTGCTTCCACCCCGCTCTCCTGAGTTTGCTGTTGATTCGGTGTTTCCCACTCCCACCAACCCACACCTGCTCCTGCCCCAAACTTGGCTTTCCCCCTTGGCCCTTCCCTCAATGTCATCCCCACACCCCGAAGCACATAGTCTAAGACCTGTGGACCAACTCGGTCTCCAAAAATATCTCAAACCCTTCCACATCTCTCCATCTCCACTGCCATCACCCCGATCCTGACGCCATTCTCCCGTTTGGGCCATGCCAATAGCCAGCTAAGGGGGCTGCTCACCATCGACTCCAATCTTCAAAGAGCTGCAGATTTAATCATATCATTACCCTGCTTAAACCCTTTAATGACATCCCACCACCCTTAAAGGCTTTTCCTTGCCTGTGACTCTTTTCCTTGCACAAGTCTACCCCCGCCCCACTGCATTCAAGAACCCAGCCTTCTTTCAGTTCCTTTAATGTGCCCTGTGGAGCCTTCCTTTCTCCCAGAATTCCTTGCTTTACTGGGCTCCAGACCTCCTCATTCTTTAGATTCCAGATGAAATGTCAGAGGCCAGATTCCAAAGCCACCCAATCCAACTCAGACTGTTGTCATTGCCCTTGCAGTTCCCCGTCACAGGCAGTGGAGAGATGGCTGGCGTGGTGATGCGTTTACTGTGCTTCCTCACTACACCATCCACTCGACAGCAAGAGAAGGAACGCATATGTTCTGGTCACTGCCGTATCTCTAGCACAGTGCCTGGTACACAGCTGGTGCTCAGTAAGTGTTTGCTGACTAAATAAGAGACTGAACGAACTCAGAGCCGCACGGCAAGAGAACACTGAAGCCAGCATTCGAGTGTGGGTCTCTCCAACAGCCCGTGATGCGCTCACCCCACCACAGCTCTGCTTCCTAGGTTTTGGACCCTTCCCTAGGATCTAAACTCACATTTTTCTGTAGTTGTTTAAAAAACTTTTTCTGGATATAAAGGTAACAGTGGAAAATACGGATGGGTGTAAAAGAAGAGCAGACTTCCAGAATCTTGCCCACCACTACGAATATTTTAGATATCTCTTTCAAACTTTAATGTGTGAAATTTGTAAATATTTGTGTGTAGTTTGTCTTGCTTTTATCTCTTAACATTATAACACGAACATTATAAATTTCTCCATGGAATTGCAAATTATTCAAAAAGTAAATTAAAAATAATTGGTTTGAAATTTTGAAATAGCTCAATATGCAGAAAAGTACAAAAAATAATTTAACAGAAAAGACACAACATCCTCATCCAGATTTAGAAAATTAGTTAACATTTTATTATATTTGATTCAACCCCTCTTTAAAAAAAATTTAATCAAGTTGGCATACAATATTTGCATGCTTGTTTAATATTTTTCTACATATATGTGGTTCTTAAATACTATGTAATATTTTTATTTTAAAAAAGATTTGCATAAATAGTATCTTCAAATATGTATCATTTTTATGACTTGTTTCTTTACGCAGCATTGTTTTTGAAATTTATCTGAGCTGATAGTTATGGATCTGGTTCATTTTAACTGTATAATATCTCATTGCGTATAAATCATATTTTATATATCCATTTCCTTTCCCTTATCCATTTCCAGTTCTTTAATGATGACAATTGCTGCTATTTTATTAGACAACTATATAAATCCAGCTCTTCCATTAGTTGAGTGATCTTGGGCAAGTTACTTAGCCTCTCTGTACCTCAGTTCCCTCATCTATTTAATGGGGATAATAATAGTATCTTTATCACAAAGTTGTTCATAAGGATTAAATGAGTAAGTATGTATAAAATACTTAGAATGGTGCCTGGCACATAGTACTATATAAATATTTGCTATTGTTGTTATTAAGAGCCTTGTTGTTATAATATTTTTAAGAATATTAATTTTCTCTGGCATATCTGGCGTAAGTATTTTTTCTCAGTTTGACTTAACATTTTGTTTTGGGTTTTTTGATGCGAAACATAAGTTTTATGGTTCTGTGTAGTAAAATTGATTGATCTTTTATAATTTCTTCCATTGCTTGTAAGAATTGAGAGCTTATCCCTATCTAGATCAGAAAATATCCTCTTGAATTTTTCAATGATTTAAATTTTTTAATCTCTACGTTTTACTCATTATCCACTGAAATGCTGTTTTACAGACCACCCTTTCAAGAGAGGGAGGCAGGCTGGCCCAGGATTCCCCCTCCCCCACTTCCCTCATGCGAAGGCCATCACTGGTCAAAAGCTTAGGTGTGGGGAAACACAGATGTCTGCCTGTTTGGCCCTCCAGTGAGGAAA